TGCTGTAAAGTTGATGCTAACCAAGCTATGGAAACAGATCACCTCAGTTCTCTACCTCCTTTCTGTAAACCAGGGATAATAAATAGGGTTCCTTGCTTAGTTCCAGCCATATTAACATTTAATTATTTCTCTAAACTGCTGTGTAATACTAGGTATTAACTACCTGGTACTTTTCATAATTGATTTGTCAGCATACATACTGTACAGACAATTTGGTCTAAGGAAAGTGTCCAACAGGCCTACAACAGGCAAATAAACGTCGTTACGTTAACCGGTATCTTATCGGTGACGCCGTATGGCTGCGTCTCCTTCAGGGCCAGGACCGAATCGGTTGTGTTCTTTTGTTTATGAACAGGGTGAGGCACTACAGGTCTGTTAACATGCCAAAGTCCTTTCATGGCTTTGTGTAGTTTTCTCTGCATCATTTGACTACTTGCATATACTTCGTGCCATATATATGAAATCACACTTTATTTTGGGTTGTAGCTATTTATATTCGTTGGAGGAAGAGGAATGTGGAAAAAGAACAGGTTCTTTCTGGGCATCTGATTCACAGAAGCTCAAGACTTCCCTTAATGGATCATGACATTCTCCTGACCTACACAGAGCCCTGCAGGCACCAACCGCTACCTGTTGCACAGATTGAAGGCCCTGTGCTATCGGCACGGGGCTCTCAGGACACAGATCCCTGTCCTGGGGTGGCTGCTCATTCCCACTGGGTTTGTGTGTACAATAAGGAAATCGCTCCGGGTTTGGTTTGCTCCCTCCTTTAAAGCAGGCTTGGAACTAAGTGTAACTTGACAAAACCAGCAAGAATCTGACTCTATTTAAATTGCAGCACCATCCAGCATGCCGCCAGGTAACTCCTCCCAAAGCGCTTGCACCAAGTCCTGAGCTCAGCTCTGCAATCACCGGCTGTTGCAATGCTCGGGCAGCGGCTGGGGCCGGTGCTGCTGCTCGCAATGTGCCGCGTTCGCATCTCCTACCTCTGCTGCGGGCCAGCCTGGGCGAGCGGGGCTGGCTGGGGCTCCCGGGAGCCTCTGGCTTGTTGGTTTGCTCGCCAAGGCACGTGTTGCCTTTCGTAACACCGCACAGCTGGGGCTCAGCGACGCTGGTAGGAACCTCTGCTTCCTGGCTCATCTGCTTTCTCTCCATCCTACCATGGCTTTAAATAACTGATGTTTCCACTTCTCTGTTCTGTGCAGCAGGGAACAGACATTGCAACACAACCTTTTTCTAAAAAAAAAAAAATAAAATCATTGAAGCATGAAAACTTGAATGAATCTGGTGGCTGTATCAGTTCTGGAAGCTTGCTGCAGGGTTTCTCCTTGGATATTTTGAGTTATTCAGTGAGGAGCACCTTGCAGAGCAGATACAAGTCTATGCAGTGCATGTGTGGGAGGGGGAGCAATGGCCCAAGCATTGTTTATCAGAGAGAAAAGCTGTTAATTTTAATAGGAGACCCCAGAGTCAGGGTAATAACGAGCCACTGCAGCTCTTCCAGCTGTTTCTGCAGCACCAGCTGGGCAGATCGGGTGCTGGGGGTCGGTGTCACCCAGTGCTGCACAGGGTGCTGCAGGTGGAATAACCGGGGGTTTCTTTACCTTCCCCTGGAGAGAGGCGGCGGAGGTGGTAAACCCTCGTCCTCGGAGGAGGGGATGCTGCCGAAGGAAATGCCCCGGCAGCAGTTTTTGAGAAGATGTCGGTGTGAGTGAGGAGGGCGGCTGCGGTGAAGAGGGGTGTGATGGGCGTCTCGGGGGCTTTAGCTTCACCCAGGCTCTAGGACTCAACCTCAAGCTGCCTAGAGAAGAGGAAAGAGTTTCCAGCATTAGAGAGCTGGGGAGTGAACCTGCAGAGGGGCTCCATGCCTGCAGGGAGCAACGCCAGGAGGGGTGAAGGGGGAGCTGCGGCTGGGCAGAACAAGCCCCAGAGCTGCGCACAGCCTGGGCACCCCCTCCTCTGGCACGCAAATAAAGCTTAGTGGTGAAGCTTCCCGTCTAAAATGGTTTTTTACCCATCCTTACAAGAATCTCCTTACAGCGTACAGCAGCAGGTGGCAAACTTTCGGTGTCTTGGAAAGCTTTGGTGAGATGCAAGTATATACCTGTTCTAGGAACAATCTGTGTTTTTAGAGCCGAGAAGGAAACGGGTCCTACCCTGAGCTGAAGGACTTCATGCACAAAACCACCTAAGAGAATAAACCTGTTGCGGGGCAATGTGTTCAGCAGCACACGGCACAAACACCCAGCAAAGGACTTAATTACTATGTACAAAGGCGCTTTGGTCAGGGCTGTGCGTTCGGCTCCTCTGCATGTCAGCGAGCAGCTATGTGGCAGAACAGGCTGTCGGATTAAGGAGTCTCCGGCAAAACCCGTGCTGAGGACATCAGAGGACACCAGCCAGCGGGGAAGTGAGTGAGCTGGGTGGTACCGAGCGGAGCTGCCCGCAGCCTCCCGGGCACCGGGTGCTGGTGCTGCTGCCTGCCTCTGCAGCTGCGCCTCTGCCTGCGCCTCTGCCTGCGCCGCCTGCACCGCGCTGGCTCGGAGCAAAGCTGCTCGGGCAGGGCTGCGAGAGAGCACAGCACGCAGGGACCCGGCTGCTTCAGGTCAGAACATGGAGCTGGTTTAGGGGCTCGGCCGTGCTGTGACCCCAGCCCGGAGCGGTAACGAACCTGCCTTGCATGGGTGCGAGATGAGTTTCTCTCGCCCCGGTGCAGCAGGCTGCAGGTGAGGGGCTGGGGGCTCACCCGCGAGCGCGTACCTGCCGAGCACCCACCTGCCAAGCACCCGCGCAGCCTTATCTCCGCTGGGGAAGCGAGTTAATGTGTAACCCGGCTCTGTTTGGTTAGCCCAGAAAAGTAAAGAAGTCCTGGGATAGGCACGGCCGGGACAAGGATTTCAGCAGCGTGGAACGACGGACGTCCTGGTAAAAAAAGAAAAAAAAAATATCTCTATTCCTTCTTGTCCTTTGCTTTCTGTCTTTTTCCTGCTGCATGGGCTGCGGGCAAGGGGCTGAGCGCCTCTGCCCGGGTGGGACGCGGGGCTCCGGGCACCCGCGGGGTTACGGACGTGCTTTGCTTTGGAAGGGGAAAGGTGTGGAGGTGTCACAGGAGGTGGCACCAGCAAAGATGGACGAGGTGGTTTGAAGGTGGTGGTGGGAGGAAAGCTGGGGTGGCTCCAGCTGCTGCCGGCGGAGAGGCTGGGAAAGCTTGTGCTCTGGACAGCAATCGGCTCGGGCAACTGCTACATGCACTTGACTTACTTGTTTAAATAGGAGGAACTATAGATCTGCTGCCATCGTCTCCTTTCACCTTGAGGTGGGATCCGTCCTGCCGTGCTGCTGCAGAGCGGGAGCAGCTGGGATGGTACCTGCAAACGGGATTTTGCTTGGGTTTGTGTTTTGAGCTGGCCAGGACGAAGCGCTTTACCGGCAGCTCTAAGGCAGAGGGGGTCTGGCTGCCCTACCCTAGACAGCAAAAATACCGAGGTTCTTTAACATTGCTGGAGAGCTGCGATAGAGTGCTTGTAGTAGTACTGGGCTTAAAAGAAAGTAGCCTCTTCATATAAAGCAATTAGCATTAATTGCTACCCAGCACCTCTTTGATGTTTGAGGGCTTGGTGAGCTTTGTAAAGGACAGTTATGGCAGCTGTCACAAAAGCTGCGTGAACTGGCCTTTTATTTTAGATAAAAAATAGCTTCTTCTAAAAGCATTTTTAGTGGCGGAAGATATATACACTGTTGAAAAACAGCTTTTCAAGTATCATGTCTTTTCATTTAAATGCTCAGTCATATTTTTAGTTTGTGGCTGAACCACCGTGTTATTCAGCAAAAGGAAGGAACTGTAAAATCCTTCTGAATCATAAAAACTGGGATTTTTCAACACTGATTTTTCCCCTTTCCCAAGTCAGATGAATGCGGTAGAGCCATAATCGCATCAGAGAACTAGTGAGCAGGAAAATGAACTTCTTGTTTTTGCATAGATCCTCTCCAGCGTCCGAGGAGCTCCGGGCTGAACTTTGCCTCTTCGTGAGCTGGGGCTCGATGGGTGCCAAAGCCTTGGCAGCTGCTTTATGTTTCTGCAAACGCTGTTTGACCAAAGCAAATTATTTCTTCCAATGGGCTGACGACGGTGGGCATCCTCGCGGAGCAATTAGCTCTGTTGAGACCCCTAATTACAGCTGGGCCGTGCTGCTGCTCGCCCGCCCGTGGGGCTGCTTTGCAACGGCAGACGCTGGCTCCGACCGGCTGCTCAAGCTGCGGGCGTCAAGTTCGAGCAAGACTTTCGCTTCCCCAGGAGTGTTTTGCTCTCTCGACTCTGTGCAGCAGGGCGGGAGGCAGTGAGGAGCATTGCAGCAATCCTGACCGAGCAGGCGGTAGCCTCTTGCTGCTTAGAAGTAGATTCCTATTTCACGTTGCAAATGTTCGGGTGCACAGCAAAACCGTGTGGCTTGTGGAAGCCTAAAAACCCCCAAACTCAGCTGGTGTCTTTGCTTAAAACTCTGGCTATAAAGTTACCCAAATTCAAAGAATCAAGGGTATTGCTCTTCCAAAACCACCACTTACTGAAATGTAATTTAAGCAGTAAATAACGCAAAGCTGAGACTGAAATACTAAATTCCTCCTGCATGGAAGGATCGGATCTGTCAGGGCGTGGGTGTTGAAATCTGATTTTTGCAGCATATTCCAATTACAAAGGGATTCTTTCAGGGTCTCACACTCTGAACAAGCAGCCAGTTCTGCTCACTTATCGCTAGATCTAATTCCCTGATCCTGCTACAAGAAAAAAAAAAAAGCAGCAGTGTGCTTCTGCGTGCCACAGCCAGGTTACTGCACAAAGAGCTCCTCTGTCTTCCGATGAGCAAATCCTCTTGCGTGGGTCCGTGTGTGTTGGAAGGGGTGTTTGTTTTGCCGCTCTCATTAGCCTCCTCTCCGGAAGAATGGGCGGCGCGCACGAAGAAAACACGTAATTGGTGGTGTCAGTAAATTTTGGAAGCTTAATGCTTTACATCCATAAGTAATTATGCCTTTTGTAGGCTGCCCAGCCTCTCCCTGCAGGCAGCAGAGCTCCCTTGGCCACGCACCCTGTGAGCATAACTGGTCCCTCCGCCGCCTGGGAAGGTCTGGCTGTTGGGAACCCCGACGGCAGGTTGTTTGTCAGGCAGCTGCTACCGCATTCAGGTCCCACCGGTGCTGGGGGTACGGGCTGCACCCAGAGCAGCAGTAGTGCATTGCTGTGAGCAGGGGGGGACACTGGCTGCTGCTTGCAACACCCCCGGGGTGGCTGGAGACCTGGCACATGGCTGCAGCCTGGGCACAGCTCCCAGCACTGCCCTGCTCCCCGCAAGCGATGCCAGGCATGTGCCCAAACACACCCAGGCATGCCCCGAAGGTACACGGGCACCTCCCCACGGCCACGACACCTCTGTGGCCCCCGAGGAAGCTCTTTGCCAGGAGAAGGCTCACAGCAGGTCAAGGCTGTGACTAACCGGCAGCATTTCGGGTCAGCGCGTTCAGAAGTTTGAGAGAATTTAAGCTGCGTAGCTGGCAGCGGTGGGTGCAGCGGAGGGAAGAGGTCCCACGAGGCAGAGCTGGGCTGGGGCTCGCATTGGGACGGGATCACTGCTGCTGAGCTCCGAGGCTGCGGTGGGCTTACAGCCTCCTGCTTCACTCAGGAACCACCTTATCCACACCTCCGAGATGATTAAATAACCACCAACGTGAGATGGCTGGGGTTAGGCGGTCCAGAGCTTACTCTATTTCCAGTTCTTTTGGGGAAATCTTCAGTTCCAAGGATGCTTTAAAAAAGCCCAGCTGCCCCTTCTCCTGGAGAGAGCAGCCTAAGAACGAGCGCGTTTGCATCCACCCGGCAGCTTCACAGCCCGCCTGCCCTCACTGCGGCTGAGCCAGCGCATTTGCGTCACCCTGGCGGGGTCTCGCAGCTTAACGCCTCTCCTTTCTTCTGCTTCAGCCGGGATATTGCCCCCCGCGCCAGACGCCGTGGCAGCCTGTGGTATGCCTAGGGAGGAGCTGGGGCTGGGGATGGCTGGCTGCAACTCTGGGAGCTGCGACAGCGTGGTCAGCACGGCCTCCAACCACTCACAGCAGGTAAGTAACCCTGTTGCCCAGGCACGACAGGCTCAACTCGCCCCTCTTGGCAGCCGAGGAAGGATTTTGGCCAGATCTCTGCTCGAAACCACTCTCCATCAGTGCTTTGGAAGCACCAGAGGGCCCTGATACAGCACCATGCTAAGGGCAGCACAAGGACCAAATTAACTCCTGCCCCAAAGCACTCCCAGACTTTCCATCCTGCCACGTGTGTGGCAGCAATCAGGAGCCTGAGCTCCTCCAAGGCCTCCTTGGGGAAACGATACCGAGAGCCCAGTGGCTCCTGCATTGCCTGAAGATGCAGAGGCAAATAGTGCAGGCACTTGGCAGAAGGAGCCCGGCGAGTTCCCCAGTGGAGGATTAGACCAGTTGGATAACTGGGTCAGACTGGCTCCAACAAGGGTGACTTCACCTGGAGAAGACAGCGAGCCATACTCCTCCCAGCTGACAAGAGATTAATTTCCTATTAAAGCAGAGATGAGTGTGGACCATGCATGTAGATGTGTAATTTTTCACTATCTGTCCATTAAAGCTTGTTTGTCTCCAAACACTGATTCCAAGATTGATGGACTAATTACATCCTGTCTGACTTGGAGCATAATTGATATGTGTAAGTGCAGCGCTCAGTCCTGAACAGGTTTTCCATCTGATGTATTGCAAACCAGAACCAAACCCTCTGAAATTTATTAGGGATGGAAAAACTGGTTGCAATATTGCACGGTAAAAGATTTGGATAGGAGTCTCCCTGCAAACCAGCTCCACCTGGGACAATTTCTCCTCTGTGTTCGTTGATCTGATGGACACTCCATCCTTTCCCGAGTCAGTTTTTTCATGACATTTTGCATGTATCACTTTGTAACTTGGCACTTCCACAGCAATCATATCTCATGATACTTGAACTGCAACCAAATTTAAACAGGATCTTGCTGGGGTACGAATGGGAGAACAAGGAGAGGGACCACCACCCACAGATAAGCCTTCAGTGTTTATGATATTTAGACAAGCTTCTAAGATTCAGCATTGCTGATCAGTACAGATGTCTGTACCTATAGACCACCCATGTTACCCATCTGCTCGTATTTCAAAGTAAGCTAAAGAACTAAAAGGTGGAGGCCAAGTTTCCAAATTAAGACGCTTCTGATGGTCATAGTAGGGTAATATAAAAATGGCCTTATGTATATATATATTTTTTTTTTTTAAAAAGGAAATTGTTTAGGTTTCTGTAGCTGTAACTACCAATTTGTGAATAGTCATTGGCCAAGTCTCCTGGCCAGGAGCTGTCACAGGTCTCCTCTTAACTGCCAGGGCTGTGAATAGTAATACACCTGTGTCTCCTACCTGTACTACTTTTTTTTCTTTTTTCAGAGTGATAACAGTTATGACTACTTATCTGTGGAAGAGAAAG